CTGTGAGATGTTCTATAAGGGAGGAAGGAATATGACTTTAGCAAGTGATCAAGCGAAGAGCTGGCATTCTTAGAAAAATTGCTGATTTGCCTCACCATGAGCCATCCTGAAGTTCACTGTGTGAAAGAAAAGTGGTTTACTTTGCTTAACATAATTAAAGTTTGTGCGGGGAGAGCGCACACTTGTAACCTCACTGGCTCAGGAGTCAGAGTCAGCAAGGTCAAGAGTTTGAGGCTAGACTGGGCAACTTATAAGACGATATCTCAAAATAAAGTTAAGAATCACTGGGATATAGCTCAGTGATAGATCACTTGCCTAGCTAGCAAGCAAGAGGCTCTGGGCTCGAGAAAACATTAACAAAATATTTATTTTTGTGTATGAGTGTTGTGTGTGTGTGTGTGTGTGTGTGTGTGTGTGTGTGTGTGTTTGGGTGTATGTGTATGTGATGTGTGTGTGGTGTGGTCTATGTGGCATGTGTGTGTATATGTGGTATGTGTGTATGTGAGTGTGTGCATGTGTGGGCGTGTGTATGTGTGATGTGTGCATGTGTGGTGTGTGTGTATATGTGGTGTGTGTGTGGTATGCACTACCTGGTCACATTGCCTCTGTGGTCAGGAAAAAGAGAGGGGAGATGAAGTGGATCTAGGCTATGAAACCTCAGCCACCTCCAGGAGTTCCACCTCCAAAGGTCCCACAGACTTTCAGAACAGAACCACATGTAGGGACCCAAATGTTCAGCCATCCAAGCCTGTTAGAGACTTCACATTAACTACCCTGTGTGTCTGATGTTGAGATTGAGACCACACAGAAGCAGCAACAGTGTAGAAACACAGCATTGTATGCACGTCTGTATTTCTGAGGAAACAGTAGTTTCCTCCCAAAGTGCCGTTTCTCAGTTTTAAAAAAGTTAAGACCCTGAAGGCCAGAGAAGCTGCTTAATGATTAAAAGCAACTTGCTGCTTGTGCAGGGGATTCAGTTTCAATTCCCAGCACCAACCTGGTGTCTCACGACCATCTGTAACTCCATTTCCAGGGGATCTTATGCCCTCTTCTGACCTCCTTTCATGCCAGACACACATGTGCCCCCCCTACACAGAGACAAAACAATCATACACAAAAATAAATCTTTTGTCAATGTTTCTTTAAAGATAGCTCTCAACTTAAAATACATAGAGGATCCCAACAAGGTTTTGCTTTATGGGGGCCAGAGGCACAGACAAAGTTATAATTATTCATGTTTCCATCTTGGACACCGAAAGGGAAGGTTTCATTTTAAACGCTAGTGAGTGGATACTTCTGGAGAGCAAGAGTGAATACTCTGTGTGGCAATGACATCTTAACATTGCCATTAAATCAGTGATGGCCCTGGGGACTTCTGAGATCTGTCTGCAATCAACATGCCGGCTTCCCCCAGACCACAAAGGCACCAGTGAAGGACCAGCTTGCACAGTGAACTGTGTTTGTCTTGGATCTTTATTCCAGATTCCAGGGCCTCTCCCAAGCCCGCCCTCCTGCTTAGTGTGACTATGTGGTTGTTTGCACAGGCACAGCAGGACTGTGCTGGACTTCACGAAGGAATCACTGTTAAAAGGATTATGCACCATAGCCTTGCTTGGAATGCATGACCAGGTATGACCCTTGCATTAGACAAGGTTCTCTAGAGGAACTGAGCTGAGAGAATGCACATAAACTGTTTTTTAAAAAAAGAGAATTTCTTGATTGGCTTACCTGATAGCACCCAGATGGTCCAGCAATGGCCACCTGCACACTGGGGAACCTGGTAGCAACTGAGTCCATGAAAGTGGATTCCTCACTAGTCCCGACAGGCACTGTGGGCCTGGCGGATTCATGGTGAGTGGCTGATTTTCAGTCCATGTCGGAGAGACAAAGAAGCTGGAGTCTGAAGTCTGCGGGGACAACAGCATCAGCCTTAGAGGCTACAGACCCATGGACAATGAGGGAGGCAGGGCTGCTTTCTCCTTGGGCCTTTTTATGAATGAGCCCCTCATCAGAGGATGCAGTCTTTTTCCTTGGTTAATCCTTTCTAGAAATACTCTCCTGTACCTGTGTTGAGGCTTGTCTCTTAGTTGATTCCAGATCCCATCAAGGAAACAACTGAGATTAATCATCACTGCAGCCATTTATTTTAAATCTTTTATTGAGATACAATCTGTATGAATCACTTATTTAAAGTATAAAAGTTCAGTGGCTTTTTTTAAATCACCACAATTATTTTTGGAATATATACCTTCCTCCAAAACCCACACCCGTATTAGTTTGCAACTGATCCAGTTCCCCTGTTCCGTATCCCTAGGCAAACACTTACCTACCTTGTCTCCATGCAACACTTCATTGAAACAGAATCAGGCAATATGTGGCCTCTTGTGACCTGTTTCTTTCACTTAGCATGATGTTTTCAAGGTCCATCCATACTGTAAAATGCTAGCTCATCATTTTTTTTTAATCAGCATATAATAGTCAACTTTGATTAGATCATTTCCCCCCTGTTTGGGATCACGCTGCTGGGAACACTCATAAATGGGTTTTGTGTCTACATGCTTTCACAGGTACACGGGGAGGAGCAGCGCTGCTGATTCCCACAGCAATTCCATGGCTAACATTCAAGAACTGCTGTATGTGTATGTGTACATGGGAGAGGGTGCATGCATGTTTGTGGAGCTGACACTGAGGTGACATGGCTTGGAGTGTCAAAACCTGGCTTCTGGGACAGGTGCCCAACAGGTCTAAAGTCTCCAGAGCTAATATTCAACTCCCTATCCATCTGAACTAAACAGACAACATAGAGCTTCAAACGCTTTTTAGCACTGCCTACCATATCTGATGTTATGAGCCTTTCTGTGATGAGTGTAGTGACAGCCTCCAGACAATAATGGTGACAGAAGTCAATTTGGATTAATTGCATCTATAAAATACTAGAAAGCTGGTCCCTAAGGTACACCAACTACACAGAGGTTAGTGGGAACTGCATTTAATGGCACAGAATAAGCTATTCCCACCAGTCCAGCAAGTTCTATTGGACAACATGGGCTTATAGTAGGAGTAAACTATGTCCCAACATGAGGGTCATACCAGCTACCTGCCTGTTTGGGTAGTTTTCTGAACACAGTTGTGCCCACCCATTTGTGTGAACACTGTCTGACCTAGGCTATCTCAACATGAATGGTTACAGTTTGTTAAGCGTGGGATAACTACTGTCTGACCTTTATATGAAAAGCTCACTGCGCCAGCCCCAAGCTATTGCCAGAATGCTGGTGAGGATCTTTGAGTAAAGACCTCCATTGGCATCTCCAGTGTGTCCAAGCATGTCTGTCCCAGGAAGAAGCAGCTGTCAGCAACAGGAGCTCAGGTGTACAGAGGCTCAGGGAGCCCGTCCTGAATAGTCACCTCTTCTAAGGTGACTGGACTCAGAGAGTGTGGCATTGTAACCATCCTGGCAGAAATGAAGACACTTGTGCACATCCCTTTGGCTGTCCGACTATTGAAATAATGGTCCCCAAGGAACAGAGATTTCCCTAAGGATCTTTTGCTAGGGTAAGTCAGACAAGGAACTTCTCTCAGGAAGGGATTCACAAGGTTCTGACCACCTTATAAGACAGACAGGAGCAGAGAGAAGCCAATGCCTTGTGCAGCTGCACCTTGCCCAGGACTCTCTGTGCTAGCCTCTTGCCCTCTAGTTAAACAGACCCAGAGATGACATTGGAGGGAGGGTCTCAAGGCTCTTTGTTCTTCTCCCTTGCAAGGTCACACTGAATGATTCTTCCTCTCTTTGCTTTTCATCATGACTTGTCTTTTTCCTGGAGTATTAAGGACAAGTGGCAGAACCCAGATGGTTGAGGCTGCTAGTGTGGAGTGTGACCCTAACGACTGTAGTCACAGAGGTACTGGGTTCTGCATACCCGTCTGGAAAAAGCACATGAGAGGATCTTACCATTTGCTTTATTTTTTATTTTTCATCCTCCCCAGGTCAATGAGGCAGCAGGATGATGAACAGAGATGAGACACACTGTTCCCTCACACAATCATTCAAAAACCTCTTCCAAACTGATGTGTTCCAGATATTCCTAAAATTGCTTTCTTTTTTTCACTAGACGTTGCTTGACTGGAAAGATGTGCCCTTCCATATGCTCATCATAACTTCCCTCTCATAACTTAGAGCTCTCATAACCGGGAGACAGAGAAACTCTGGGTTGACCTCCTTCCAGGTCATTCCCAGGATGCCCAGGCTGAATGCTCTGGCCCCCTTAGCAAGTCTGGTCCCTTGGCTCTCCCCACCCCAGGGCTAACAGAGTAACAGAGGGTTTAGGGGCTCTCTGGGGACTCAGCTTGCATGCAACAAGCCCCTCAAGGTCTGCAGCCCAGCAATCACTCTTGGATGCCTCCCACTTCTGTCCCCTCTTAGGAAGGCAAGCTTTGTTGGAAAAGAGAACAGAGATGACTCAGGACTCAGCCATGCTCACTTGGTAATAAATGCCTCTATTGTCCATAGAAAGTAGAGTGTGTCTATAGCAGTTTGGACTGTCCCCTGGGGCCAGAGGGAATGGATTTTCTTAGGCTGCCTAAGAGCATCTCAGATGATAACATCTGGGACAAAGGGTTCCCCGGGTGCTGGAATGTCAACTGTGCCATTTGTAAATGCACTGGTGAACTTGGGTGTCACGCGAACAGGGGGAAGCCCCAGTTTCCCCTCCCAGACAGCCAGGGGTCATGTGCCTTTTTCAGGCTGGCTCGCTCAATCCCCTCACTCCCGCCAGCCTTTCTCTGCTGCTCTGTCCAAGGTATTTGGATAAATGAGAACAAAGGAAAGAAAACACCCTGAGCTGCCAGCCCTCCCCATTGGGACCAGCCAAGCCATGCAGGCATGCTCCTGGGTGTCTCTTGAATTACAGACAAAACAACAGTGAGAGCCTGCTACAGAGTTACTACTGGAGTGGATTTCATTTGCATAGTCTGGGGTAAATCTCAAGTGTCTGAGAGGGTCATCAAGCACGCTGCCGCCTTTTTCGTCCCCGCAGTTTCAGGCGCCTGGCAGGTAGGCTGACAGGCTGCTTCCCAAATGTCTCCATGATTTCTCTTATCCTAGCCAGGTTTGTCTTGCTGAGTGTGAAGTCACACCGAGTGGCTCCCATGTCGTAGCCAACCATGCAGTTCTTGGTTGAAGTGACAAAGCCCTCTGCTTTTGCGGTGACCACATATTCCCCAGGGTTCAGTAGGCGCCAGTAATCCCCATCGCTGGCTGGGAAAAGAAAGCAGGCAACCTCAGAACAGATCTGTTCCAGCAGAAGTATTCTCAGTCCTGTTGCATGACCAGCCTAGTAGAGAGGGCCCTGAGCTCCTGTGATCAAGTGCTTACTGCGCTAGGGAAGCCAAGATGCTCTGGCAGCTGCCTTAATGTTTCAACAGGAAGGGACAGAGGGTGTAGGCTTTTCCCATAGTTCAAGAGCAGAGTTGGAGATGAGATCTCCAACAGTTTTTCCTCTTTAACAATACAGGTCATTCGTTATAAATGTGATCTCACAAACATTATGCCTTTGCCACAAAAAACAAACAAACAACAAACAAACAAACAAAAAACGGCATCTTGCAAAAAGTCAGCAGCTCACAGCTTCCTGGCTTCTCTGCATAGCTATGAATACAGAGGAATTATTTCTAAAAGAGGAGGCGTCTCAGCTTCTAACACGTTCAGGAACAGACTGCCCAGGAGATGGCCCTGGTGCCTGCACAGGACTCCAGCCCTCATGATGTGGCCATGAATAGAGAAACTTGGGAGCCTCAGGAACAGTGACACACACACTCAAGGCAAGGTAGGGACTCAACAAAGCAGGGAAAGGCCCATGAAAACTAGCAGGCTGCAGGCAGGGCTGGGGAAGAGCCCTGATACCCAGTTCTATCACTGGTCACTTAGCCAGTTCCTTCCTTAGCTTCCTGTGGATCAGAACAGCCTTAGGCAATGGTGGACTCTGGGGCTTAATTAATTCTCCATTGAGACCAATTAAGTTCACTTTCTCATTTGAGCATGCGTGCTGGCTTCTTATCTACCCATTTTCTTTCACCCACTTGACCCACCTGGCCATACTCAAAGGAGTGATGCGGAGATTCAGTTACAGATGGGTTACATGCTAAGACGTGGGCTCTAAATGATGTCATATCTCCACACTGAAGCTATGACAAGAGCAGGGAGCCACTCCCACTTTCAAAGACACTGTCTTTTAGAAGGAAAGTTGAGAGGGTGGAGGACATGTGAGGGACACAGCTTACTCAACATGGCTTAATGAACTCAAGGATGCAGAGATCCTTAAAAGGAGAATTACATGCCAGGCTGACTGGTCAACATTACACCCAAGATAGGTAAAACATCCCTATCTCCATACCTACATATCTGCGTATGTACTGAACCCAGATCTCTGCATGCCAGACAAGCTCTACCACTGAGCTGTACCCTAAAGCTATGAAGGGTCTCCTATTTAGTAGAAAACCTGCATTACCACTACAGAAAGACACAGGCAAGACCTGAGGACCTTTGGGGAGCATTCTCTCTCTCTCTCTCTCTCTCTCTCTCTCTCTCTCTCTCTGTGTGTGTGTGTGTGTGTGTGTGTGTGTGTGTGTGTGTGTGTGTGTGCGCATGGTTGAGCCTGAGTTGTGGTCTCTTGCTACAGCTGGAGCTCACTAGTGCTCACTAGTTTGACTATTCTATCTACTCAGCTTACCCCAGGAATCCCCTGTCTCTTATTCCTGAGCATTAGGATTACAGGAGACCCACTAACCTAGCCCAGCATTTACATGGATGCTGGAATGCAGACTCTGGTCCCAGTGCTTGTGTGGCAAGTGTTTTATCCACTGAACCATCTCTGCCCACTTTCTTGACTCTGAACAGACACTTTGTGATTCTGTTCTTACCCTTTGGCATGGTACCCCCTGTTTTTCTAAGAGAGCTAGCCTGTATTCCTCCCTTAGTGAAGGATCTTCTCCTTGCCTTTTTTGCCTGTCTCTGTATCTTCCTGTTGCATTTCTTTCTTGGTACCTGTTGTCATCTGTAATATTTTTATTCTCCCTAACAATTAATTGAAGGTCTCCTCCACCAGAAAGCATACTCAGTGGTCAGGGACATGTTTGCTGTTTGTGGCAGTAATTCCTGGCACACACTCAGTGCCCAATAAGCCAAGCTAAAGGAAAGAAGGAAATAATGATGATCATGTCCACTTCACAGAGTCAGAACAGGAGGTAATGGTCCTGTAACTGAGAAGTTTCCACTTCTGAAAGATCTGCCACACATTGAGTTCTTCTGCCCCATTAACAATTGAACTAGTATTCTGGAGTAAACACTCCATGTAGCCACCATGCAAGGTTAAAACCATGGATGCTGCTTGTCACTTACAGGGTGAAAGGGGCACCCCAAGCCTAATGAATGTTCCTTCATTAGCCGCTCAAATTGGTGTCTTCTAAGTAATGAACAGCATATGAAATTCTAACCTAAATGTGCTTTCAAAACAAACAAACAAACAAACAAAATCCCATCTTTTTTCTTTCTTTCTTTCTTTCGCGGGAGGAGGGGTTGTTCGAGACAGGATTTCTCTGTGTAGTTCTGGCTGTCCTGGAACTCACTTTGTAGACCAGGCTGGCTGTGAACTCACAGAGATCTGCCTGCCTCTGCCTCCCAAGTGCTGGGATTAAAGGCATGTGCCACCACTGCCAGGCTAAAAAAAAAAAAAATCTCTTTCTAGCTCCTTGTCTGTGGGATTCTGCTTAATGCATCTGTTTACATTATGCAAACTTCCCCTGAAATGAAACTTGCCGGATTATATAAGCCTCAGACAAAAAACAAGGCAGCCTCAGCACTTCTGGGGAACATGGAAGGATGCTCATAAAGTGCCGTGTGTGGAATATGGACGGCATCTGCCCAGAGCACGTGCTGGGAGATTATTTATAGGAGGAAGTGAAGGGGGTGAGATGCATGTCCCATTAGCTCCTCCAAACTGCTTGATTACAGGGCTTGAAATTTGGAGCCCATTAAGCAAAGCATTCTCATGTAGGCTTAGAGTGCCCCAGGGCCTTTTTACCTCCTGCTGTGTAGAGCCCCTGTGTTTTCCTACATTGCCCAAGAGGCACTAAATAGCATAAGGAATGGCCAGGGCTCCTTTAAGAAGTACTCTCTGAAAGGAAATTTAAGCAATATTTAAAACACATTTCCTACATAGAACTAGAACAAATGGCCCCCTCTTTAATTCATAAAGACCATTATCATCCTGCTTCATCTCTAGCAAATTATGGGGACTTGGTCCATGTCTATTGAACTGATGGATGAATGAATGAATGAATGAATGAATGAATGACTATATGGGTTCATAAGGAGCTACTGGGTACAGATTTCCATGCAATACTGGGTGAAACCTTAGGGTCAATGGCTGTAGTATCTAGGGACAAATGGTAGAAATCCTGTAGAGTGAAGAAGCACTTGCTGACTAAGGGGATAGAACAATGGTACCACACATCGGTCCCTAACTTCTCCAAAGCTCCTGTTGCAACTAGAGTTTTGATAGTTGCTCCAAACTATCCTAGGGAAGGGGCAAGGAGAAGCCAGGAAGCTCAACCTGAAAAACCCCATTTGCAGGAGTCTCTTGGGCAGCTGGGAGGAGAAGAGGGTGATTCAGTCCTGAATAAGAAGTTTCTGTATGAGTGCCCTGTGCTAACCAACTGTGCCACCAGCATTCTGGTGAATAAGTTTCTGGAACTCCAATCATGATTGAAACCCAAGCAACACACTGCAAGGAGCAGGTATTTCTTACTGAAGCAGTTTATCCAGATTCTCAGATACCTGTCCGGATGTCATGGTTAACACCTTCCACAGAGATGACAGCATTTGGGATACCTTTTCCATGTAAATCTCTCACTATGCCTTTGATGCCCCGATGAACCTGCAGCAAACATGAGACACAGTGAGTCACCAGCCAGCTCTAGACACCAACAACACAAGGAAGAAGGCAGTGTAGGTAACATCAGCCCAGAACATTCCAAATACAACATCTACCTCAATATACACCTGTCTCCGCATGGACTTAGTAAAATGTTTTGTAGCCCATGAGCCAGAAAGTTTCTCACTAAAATTAAAATCTTCCAGAGTTAAAAACATATTAGGGTCTGAGAGTTTCATTAAAATATACTAGGGCTAGGGACGTAGTACAGATATGGAATGCCTGAAGTCCTGGGTTCCCGTCCTAAGCAATGAAACACACAAAGTAAAATTTCTCTGGAAACTAGAATTTAATTTTACTTTTAATTAATTTATTTTATTTTGAGACAGGGTCTCATCATGTAGCTCCATTTGGCCTGCAATATTGCTATAGAAACTCGATTGGCCTTGGACTCAAGACATCCTCCTGCTTCTGCCTCCCAAGTGCTGGGATTAAAGTCTTACACCACAAGCTTGAAAAGTAATTTAATTTTTATCAAGCATGCTTATTTGGGCTTTCCTGGGTTCCATGGACTTAATATCATAGGAGTTAGAGACATAGAAACCAGAGGCCATCATAAAATGACTGCTTAGAAAGCCAGGAGGTAGTGGTGCATGCCAGCACTCAGGAGGCAGAGGCAGGCGGATCTCTGAATTCGAGGCCAGCCTGGCCTACAGAGTGAGTTCTAGGACAGTCAGGGTTATTACACAGGAAAAACGTTGTGAAAAAAAAAAACAAGAAAGAAAAAGACTGCTTTGTCTAGAGCCCATCTACTAACTAACCATGTCATACAGCACACACCATAACCATGTCATACAACACACCAACTAGAACCTGTGTCTCAGTCTTCCTGTCTGTAGGATAATGCAACAATCTACAAAAGCTCAGCAACTTTCCAATAATATTCTGGGCATGCTATCTACGGGGGGGCAACTTTGGCTAATTCAGGCTACAGCTTCAAAACCACTGTTTCCACAGTCAAGGCCTTCCCTCCTTTTCTTGTACAAAGGAAGCTGAGCCTTTCCCATGAGGTTCTAGGGCTGAGGCAGAAGGTGGACTCACAGCTTCCTGAGAGGAAGAAACTGGCTCCTACCCTCTGTGCCAGGAACCCTACTAGGACCCTTGCAGAGCAGGCTTGGCTGTAAAATCCAGATGCCAGCTACAGTCATCTGTGCAGGGGTGAAGCCACAGCACCGGGAAACTGGTACCCAAGCATTGGCAGCAAGCATCATCTGACCCTCCCATGATTGTGATTCTCATACCCACAACCCATTTCTTAGCTAGTTCCTCTCCTCCCAACCACAGACCCAGCATACCTGTTCCATGAACACAATCAGAGACTCCCGGTTGTTCTCCCATTCCTCGGGCAGCTCACTCTCATGGGGGTATTTATCACAGCCCACATAGATGGACAACTCAAAGCAGTTTGTGTGGAGGTAGCTGAAATCATTCAGACCTGGCAAGCCAATCAGACATTTTAACTCACTTAAGCGTCAAGTTGCATGGAGAGGTGGCAAGAATGTTCGAGAACATTTAGAAGTCTTCAACTGAACATGGAGGCAATAAAAATCCACCATAGATAAACACAGGAAAGCAAATGTGCCTGGGAAGGCATCATCAATTACCACAATGGATTAAGTGTTTAATTCACTGCATTTGGCAGTTATACAGGTCTCAGATGAGAGCTTGAATAGTTCCCTGTTTCAATTCATTAAGACAGCTTTCGGAGCCATAACCTCTGTCCTGTCTCATGGTCTTCTCTATGTTTCTGTCTTCATGCGCCTCTCCTGGGTATGTCCATAAGCTGTGTCCTACAGGTCACTGCATCCTCCCCACAAGCTCGGCCATAGCTTGATCTCACAAATAAGACAGAGGCTCTGATCCAGGATCCCTGTGTCTACAAAAGGCCATGGTCTAGGTTAGAGTCATTGCTCTTGTCACCAATAGTGTGGTTGTTTGGTGGCTGTCTGGCTATACCACCCACCCAGTGAGTCTCAAAGCAGCAGACCCACATTCTGGTGTGCAGATGGGAAGTGGCCAGCCTGGAGTATGGCTGTCCCCATATGAGCTCCCTGGGGCTACTGTTACATAAGGCCACACCCTGGTTTAAAGCAGACACTCATTCCCATGGACTGAGAGGCCAGAACTCCTCAGGCGTGTGTATTCTGCAAAGCCTTGTGGGAGCACCCTTCCTGATGGCTCAACTTTTGCTAGCCCAGGCATTTCTTATGTCAATAGCTTGACTCTACAGTCTTCTGTAATTGCTTTTTCCCCTTTGGATCCATTTAAGGGCATTTCTCACTGGTGCAGGGCACATCCAGGTACAGAGAAAGCACATCTCTAGGCCCTTAATTACATCTTCTCAGACTGTCTTCCCAGTAAAGTAACAGTTACAGGTACAAAGTAGTTACAAAACAGACATGTTGCTTTGGGGAGTCTTTCTCAAGTCACTACACTGCCCAGTATTTGTAAAACAAACTAATTATTATCACAAGGGTCACATAGCATAAAGTAGCCCAACTCTTAGGGTGGGTGGAGTACTGGGAATTGGGCCCAAGGCAGTATCCATGCTCAGCACTGAGCCCTCTCTCGAGCTTCCTCCTCCCTCGCCCCTCGAAGCATCTCCACCTTTGAACAGGAGGTGTCTAGCAAGTACAAGCTCTACATCAGTAGGGAAAGCACATTTTCTGGGGAAGATTCTCCTCTAAGGAGCCCCCTGCTCTCTGAGGTCAGTTGGAGACAATGAAAGCTGGGGCATAAGGCTCTGTGTGAACAGAGGAACGTGTGTTCCCTAAGGGCTTCCCAGCTCAGTCTTCATATGGCCTTCTCTCCCCCCCCAAAGGAAGGGCCTTTTGCTTTAAAGTAAGACTTTGGGGTATCAACCCACTGTCCTACCCTGAGAACAGTACCAAACCTTTTGCAGCTAGCTTAGCTCTCTCCACTTGAGTCCAGAATACAGGCACTTGAATTTCAGCAACTGTGACCTCTCAGGATAAAGCATTGAAGAGTAAACCAGGAATTAAAGGGACATGATGGGATTGTATTAAAGGAGTCCTTTACAAGGACAGGCCAACTCCAGGGTGGGTCATCTATCAACCTACAGCGAGGGATTACTGAGGGCATCCGGGGCCTAGTTAGCCCAGGTCTTGACTCTTAGAAGGGATGGAGGGATGGGCTTCCTTTGAACATAAAGGTGTCATTAGCCTCACATCCTTAGGTTCTGCTAGTACTAAAATAATTGTGATAATTGTGGATCTCTTTTTTTTTCCCAAGAAGCATTTTTGAAACACTGGAAGCCTATGTATGACATTCTGGAAGCCTAAGACATACTGGTAAAAATGATGAGAAATTTCAGCCTGGAGCAGCTTGGCCCCGCCCATCTGTTACTGACATTATGCCCTTCAAGTGAGGCCTTGCTCAAAGTGTTCCACACAGAAGGGCTTCGACTGTGAAAGATGTTAAAGATGACTTCCTGTGGACCAGGATCTGCCACACAGCCTGATAGTCCTTGCAAACCTTCAGTCCTGGCAAGAGGCATCCTTTGCAACAATGTCTGTGACTGAAGTCATTCCTATTGCCCGTGATACCCGCCCTCCTTGTGACCGACAGTACACGTCTACATCTAAGAAGAGAGTGCCCCAAGTCACTTTGGAGTTCAAAAGCATAGGCTGTCCATTCTGGATGCTTTGAAACGCATCAAGCCTCGCTTATAACTGCCCCTCCCAATTCCCACACACTCACTGATGCTTGTGGTGAGGGATAATGAGTGAGAAAGAGCAGAGCAGAGAGACTGAGGGGAAGGGAGGAAACTAGCGATCAGACTTCTTTAATCTACAAAGAGAGGAATCTGCAGAGTCCATCACAGAAGATGGGAAAGACTCAAGCTAGCACATGGCTTTGCCACAAAGTCCCAGAAATAAGGGCAAGCAGAATTGGGTGAGTAAAACATCCAATGCTGCCTAAACCAGCATATAGCAGCCTGCTTCCCAAGATGTCACTATTGACCAGACACTGTGAAAGTCAACAGTGTCTGTTTGAAACTTAGTCACAGTAGAATAAATAAATAAATAACAGATTTTACTTAGAGACTTTTGTAGGTATATCTTTAAGACTAAACTTGATTTTTTGAAATTGCATTTTTTATCAATAGGAAATGTTCCCAGTAAATGCAAACCAGTGTTTCTTTTGTAATGTTCACAGTGCAAAGTCATTGCAGAGAAAGAATTATCTCCACTTGGATTGTTGTCAAGACAAAAATGGCATCCTTTCTGATATGTTTTGAAGTGACTATGGGAACAAATATTTCTGTTTTTGTTTTCTTTTCCAAGAAAGGAACATACTTGAAAAGTATATGAAGACCGAATTTATAGTAAAGTAACATACTAACAAAATTAACTAGTATGTGGAATGGAGGGATAGGCTCAGAACATCATAGGGTCTTCTAACTCCCTTTGAAGTTGTCGTGGTAAAATATTCTGACAAAAAGCAACTGTGAAAGTACTATCTGGCTTATAATTCCAAGTCACAGTCCAACAGAGCCGAGAGTTTGGAATAACTAGTCATATCCACAGTCAAGAGCAGAGGGAAATAAATGCATATGCATGCCTATCTACTTGCTCATCTATGTTCAACTCAAATTTCTCCACTTTTATTTAGTTCAGAGACATCTACCTAGGGGATGGTGCAGCCTGCAGTGGGCTGGGCCTTCCACATCCACTAACAATCCATCCCCAAAACATGCCCACAGACCAATCCAATATAGGCAATCCCTACATTGCTCTCCTCCCAGATGACTTTAAGTTGTGTCAAGTTGACAATTAGAGCTAACCATTATACAGGGATTTCATGGTAAGCATGCCTGAGAGAGGGGAGGCCACTAGGGAAGGCACCTTAGGCTGAGTGTTTCTGATCAGCCAGACATGAATTCCATCCACAGACAATGCTTGTGTGATCCTACCATATCCCAGAGGGAAAGAAATATCACCACCACATTTTCATGCACAATTTTCTAATAGAAAAGTGTAGGGATTCAGAGAAAAATCATCCAGGGACATATATTATCTGAATGATAAAGCCAGATTTGAATTATTGTACATGAAAGATTTCTCATTTCCATTGTCGCATTAACAGTCCCCACAATATCAAGAAAAGAAGTGATTTGTATTATGCTGGGACCTTGGACCCCTGTGGGTGACCTTAAGGAATATGCTATTCTTGTCCCTTGCAAATCTTGACATATGAACCACAGGGCTCTCTGACTGCTGCCAAGTGATTTGGGAGTCCCTTGGGGAAGCCTCTCCAGGCCCATGAAACCATGCCTCACATTCCTGCTATAACGGCCTGCACCCTCAATTGAGAGTCAACATACCCTCTACCACACCCCCCCCCACACACACACCACAAACACACAGTTGCTTTTTGTATTTTTGTCACAGCAACAGGAAAAGGAAACAGGAAAATCCATGGTCATTGGGGACATTACACTAGACTAGAAGATCTAAGACTTACTTCCAGCCACCGTGTGCCAGGAAGCCCCATTGACAGTGCCATCTTCCTTCTGAAAGTCTTCTGTGTGGCACACTCGCCTCCTGGCATCTGTCATGAGGCGGTGAGTGGAGGCATAGGAGTATGCCAGCCAGCGGAACACGTGATCATCAGGTGTTGGGGTGTGCTCCTGCGTCTTCCACAGGGACCGCACCATGTCATAGGGGTATGCCACCACTAGCTCACCCCCCTGTAGGTTGCCTCCCAGCACAAAGGGGATCTTCTCCATCCAGGCAATGACAGCTCTGGTCTCCATGGCCACCTGGAAGTATACAAATTTAACAAAGAGAAGGAAATTGCCTCACTGCCCTAGCTTTCAAAAAAAGGAAATGTTGAAAAATGAGGAATTTCATGCAATAGTCTTAGCAACATTTTGAATCTTAAACTGTGTCCTGAGAAAACTGGACCTTTTTTAGTAGCAATGAATGAAAAAGGGAAGGCCAGGGAAATGTCCAGTTTCCACAGCAGTATATTCTAGTAAATACTGGAGGGGTTAAAGGAATATTATTCTGTAATTCCAGTGAACTGCTGGGTTAGGAGTGTTTACCCACAACTACAGACAACATGAGAAAGACACAACACACAACCAGTAGCATGTCTCCAGATGACAGGCACACACCCCAAACCCACAGACCTGAATAGCACCAGACCTCTAGTTCAGGCATCAGCTGAGTTTTCCTGCAAAGGGCCAGATGGTGAATATTTGGGGCTTTGTGGGCCAGGCGGGCTCTCTCACAGCTACCCAACTATATTCCTGTAGCAAAGAAACACCATGGACAAAATGCAAATGTGTGCCAATCGACGCCACTTGGGAAAGCAGTCCTGTGTGGGTTGTAGTTTGTGGACTGCTGCTCTGTCTAGTCTAAGTTGGTTTCCATAAAATGGAAAAGGATGTACACACATCACAAGAACACAGCTCTGGCTCCCAGAGGCAGTAAATGTAGCTGTTCATGAACAGCCAAGGGTGACATGAGGAAACAGGCAAGACAGGGGAGGACTAGGAAATAATGGAGAGGAGCCTGTTAAAAGGGAAGTATAAGGACTAAAAAACAATAGAAAGGAATGGGCTCCCTTTGAATCAAGATTTAAGCAATGGGAAGGGAGTGAAGTAGGATAAGAGAAATGAATGGGGTCAGGGAAGTTCACTGATTGGTATAAAAAACTAAATGGGGTCAGGCAGTGATGGCGCACGCCTTTAATCCTAGCACTCTGGAGGCAGAGGCAGGTGGATCTCTAGGCCAGCCTGGTCAACAAAACAAGTTCCAGGACAGCCTGTTACATAGAGAAACTCTGTCTCATAAATAAATAAATAAATAAATAAATAAATAAATAAATAAATAAATAAGAAAGAAAAAGAAACAAAATGAGAACTCTGATCTTGAAATATCAAGAAAAAAACTTATTTGGGGCTAAGGAGTACTCCATGGGCAAAACTGCTTGCCTCACAAGCCTGATGACAGGAGTTCAATTCTCAGAACACATTTAAAATCCAGATGTGGTAACACACCTCTGTAATCAGCCTACAGAGAGATGGGAGGCAAGGACCAGTTAGCCTGGGTATGTCAGCGTGGTGCAAACAGCAAGACAGACCCAGACTGAACAAAGCGGAAGGAGAGAACTGACTCCTGAAAGTTGTCACCCGATCCCCGTAGGTGTGTCATGGCAAGCACACATCCATACTTACACGTGTACTGGAGCTTACACAGAGAAAAACAATAAAATTGCAACAGAAATGGCTTATTTTAATGTGATAATGGCAATATCTGTGGATTTACAGGACAGCTCCCTGGAGTTTAGAGATGCCTGTTGAAATGTTCACAAATGAAATGACATGAAAACATGATGTCTGCTTTAGTAAAGGGGAGGGGGGATGCCTGGTGGAGGAAGCATAAGCGGGTACATGTCAGCACTGACGTGAGTGCCTGTGTCCTCTACTTCTTCCTTTACTTTTGAACATTTGACTTTTTATGGGGGGAAGGTATAAAAGAGGGAAATGGCATTGTTAAAAGATCAAATTTAAATGGTTGGCATGGTTTAATATAGACATAGAAATCAAGTCAGGTTATAATGTATTACTGATGGTCACGCAAAGATAATTTCAGTAAGACAAAGTTGATGACAACAGAGGAACACTGGGAGCCACTTACTGTGTAGACAAAAATGCTGACTCGGGGCACAATGTGCTTGCTGGGCTTCATTAAACTTGATTCTGGTGTTTAAGCACACCATAGGCCCTGAGTCAGGTTAATTATGGAACACATCTCATTGCACAGAATCAATACCGTTCCATGCTGTGAACCCAAGACCCAAGTCTCAGAAGCAGTTGCTATGCACCTGGCTGATTTCAGCCCCTCACACACCCCATTGCTTCCCATCCTAGAGGAGATGGCTCCATTTTCCCTGTCTTGATTTAACTACACATGAAGATATAAAATTTACTGTTTGGTTTTACTTGTCTTCTCAATTTTTTTTTTTACCCAGTGTGTGCTCCTAAGATTCATTCTTAGTTTTGATGTATTCTATTGCTTATTCTTTCCCTCTAAACTGTAGAGACAGTTTATCTACATATGTGGTAATGGACGTTAAGCCATCAGCCTTTCACTGTAAGAAGTAGTGTGCTTTGAATTCTCTGGTACTATGTTCTGGTACACACATCACCACAAGTGAAATGGCCACATGTCACCAGAACTCCATCTTGTATACATCATCAGAAGTGGCATTGTTTATCTACCTAGCAATTAGCAAAAGCCGAAGATAATTTCATTGGAGTATAATTGACATGGGTGAGGATAATGATAGTAACAAATTCATGCATTCTGGGGGTGGTTATTTTGTTTCTTTACAAACTCTGTAGTTATAAAGAAATTCAATCAAATGACTCTGCAAAGAATTTCCACAATACCAACTTGAAAGGTAGTTATGGCCTAGGACTATTTCTTACTCCTGGAGAAGACAAGAAAGCAAAGATATCCTTGTCCTGTTCTTCCATGGCACACCCTCTGCAGATACCACCAGCAGGCATCTTCTGGCACTCCTCCACCCTACGAATGAGAGGGTTTTTTATTTTTTTGTTTTTTTTTCACTCACTGTGGCATTTTCAGACAGATACCACTCAGGGACTGCAATGTAGTGGTTGGGAACTTTCCTTGGGGCATTCTTCCGGTCCTCTGCCTCCCAGAGCAGTGTGTTTAAATCCGGAAAGTTGTTGTTGATATCAATCCCGTCATGGGTCCAACGTCCCAGGGACCAGCCTCCCAGCTCAGAGCCCTAGAGAAGATTCAGAATGTAAAGAGCTCTCAGACTGCCAGATAATCTGGGAACGTGTGACGTGTCTGTGTCTCCTGTGTGCATCTCCAAATCTCTGCATGCTCTTGGTCCCAGAAAAGACATCACAGGAGAATATAGAAAAATCTGCTATTGATATCTGATAAGTCACAGACAAAACAGCTACCTCACTCCAAAGATGGACACCTAGAGGACCACTCAGGCCATAAGGCCAAGCTCAAAAGCCTGAGATCTCTTCTCTCAGACCTCTCCCCTACCCCTCCTTCCACCTTGGCTGAACCTCTGAAAAGGAAGAAGCCTGGAACCAGAGCATTGCAGTATCACTTACTATCAATGCAATACCAATGTGTTCCCCCTTCCCTGCCCAGAATCCTGGCTTTAGAGTTAGTGCTGTGCTCATGGCCACACCACCCTAAATATGCCCAATCTTGTCTGATCATAAAGGCTAAGCATGATTGAGTCTGGTTAATACTTGAATGGGAGTTATTGTTATGACTATCAAGTATTTGTGCCCAAAGCAACAAACACAACTAACCGCTGCACTTAAAGTTTGCATTTGACAGGAGCCTCTATTTAGATGGTGCTCTATTTTATCCAATTATTGTGAAATATCGCTATTGATTCATGGCATGATTCAATGCAATTAAATACATACATGCATATCTGTGGTACATACTAATTCCACATGATAATTAGAACACAAAGTATAAGCAATAGCTCAGAATAATCAAAGCAGTTATCATTAGGGGACAAGTGAGAATATTAGAGGTAATAACAAAGGCTTGCACATGCTCAAAAGTTCTCAGCCAACCTGAGGTGTTACAGCCATGAGCTATGCAACAATGGCATTACTCATGTGGACACTCTCCAGCCTGTGGACATACACCTCTTTCAGGGCCACCATCAGTTTCAATTCCTGCTTTGCATCCCTTAGAAACCTTGAAGATTGGAAGAAAAAATCAGAAAGAAGGCAAAACAGTTTCTTCAGGTAAAGGCTGCAGACAGAGGCTCCCACCTTCAGCAAAGAAGGCAAAAGTGGTTGGGGAGATGGCTCAGTCAGGAAAGCATTTACTGAGCAAGCATGAATTTAGATCCTAATACCCAAATAAAGAGCTGGGTGCAACAGTGTGTGCCTATAATCCCAGCACTCAGGAGGTAGAGATAGATACTCCCCTAGCGTATGATGGCCTGACGGTCTAGCTGAATCAGAAAGGTCCAAGTTCAGCGAGTGACCCTGTCTCAAGAACTAAAGTGGGGGAAGCTATTAAGAAAGATATGCAATGCCAACCTCAGGGTTTCCCCATGCATATATAGACACATGTACTTGTATACCTACACACATATAAAAAACAAGAGAAAAAGAGAGACAGACAGACAGGCAGACCGACAGACCAACAGACAGAGAGGGACAGGGACAGGGAGAGGAAGAGAGAGAGAAACAGGGAGAGGGAGAGGGAGAGGGGGAGAGATTCCTGTGAGCTGGGCTAAGCACACTCTGGAGTTGGGATATCAGATGGGAACTAGAATATACTTACTCCTTCATAGGCCTTCTCGTAGCCATCAGGATTGAGGGAGGGTAGAATGTGGATCCGTGTCTCTTCCACCAAATGGACAATGCGTGTGTTCTGTGCCAAGTACTCCTGGCAGAGGAACTGCAACAGCAGCAGCAGCAGCTCACGGCCTAGAACTTCGTTGCCATGGGCCCCTGCGATGTAGTGGAACTCGGGCTCACCTTGACAGAGACAGAGACACAGGCTCCTGCAGGCATCCACATGGCGCCTGGCAAGGTTTGGAATGACACAAACACCTCAGCCATATTTTTCTCCTTTCAAATAAGCCTCCAAAATTACATTGGGATAATTATTTTAAACTCAAATGCTCAAGCATGTAAGAAAGACACAGACAGAAAGTCTAAACAGCGAGAGCCAAGGGGTATGCATTCTTACCTAGCATGGACAGACCAAATATCTCAGTACTTGTGATTACAAGCTATACACAAAGCACAGCCATTGCTTTTCTCTTCTGAGGTGCAGTTTTTTTCTTGGGGAATTTTTTTTTTTTACTATGTTTTACAGGGATCCAAAGATGAATGGATACATGAAGAAAATAGTCAGCAAAGACACAGTTTCGTTAATGGTCTGAATATTTGCTCTTCCAAAACTTAGCTTCTTAATGAGAGGTGCTATGGATTTGTGCGTGCGCGTGCGTGCGTGCGTGAGTGCGTTCATGTGTGTGTATTCATGCTCAAGTCAAGACCCTGCGATAGTATGTAAGATGGGCCTTTAGAAGGGGATGAGTTATTAGTGTCCCCTGAGAGTGTAGCCTTCCATGCAAGGGTAAACAGAAAACAGGCCATCACTGGCCAGACTCCAGATATGCTGGCCTCTTACGCTTGAACTTCCCAGGCTTCACAATTGTGAGAAAGAAATTCCTGCTGTTTATAAATGATGGTCTAGGCTGTTTTGTTACAGCAGCTAAACGTGCTGGCCTCTTACTCTTGAACTTCCCAGGCTTCACAATTGTGAGAAAGAAATGCCTGCTGTTTATAAATGATGGTCTAGGCTGTTTTGTTACAGCAGCTAAACAGACTCAGAATGTCCGTGCTGGGAGTAGTTGATCACATTTCATTTCCTTCCCTTGTCAAGCTGCTGTGTGTGAGGAAACATGATGTTATCCACAGCTAAGGATAAAATTTACCCCCAGGAAAGAAACTGCTGGGATGAACTCCTGAGACAGGAGACATGGAGGAACGATAAAGTTAGATACCCCTTTTGCACCCTGTCTTTTGTACATAAATTTCAGTGGACTTTGAGAGCCTGGCTAGTTTTACCAACAAGAAAACCGGAGGCCACAGGGCATGCAGGAACTTGGAGTAGTGATGACTGACTAGGAAACAGCTGATGGCAGGCAGCATTTAAAGACAACATAAACACTCTTTCATAGATCCAGCTGAAACAAGCTCGTGGAAATTTGTGAACTCTGGACAGACAACTGTGGAGCCTCCATGGGACAGAAGTAGGAAATGTGGGAAACAGTTGTGAAGCTTGGACTATCTGAGGGGCCTCAGGATATATCCTTGGTGCATGAGCTAGATTGTTTGAGCCCATTCCCTGTGGTGAGATGCCATGCTCACCCTTAATGCAGGGGGAGGGGTTTGGTTCTGCCCCAACTTAATGTGCCAGACTTGTTCACCCCCCATAGGAGCCCTTACCTGTTGGGAGGAGTAGATGGGGGATGGGCTTAGAGAGAGGTGAGGGGGGCAGGAGGAGGGGTGGGAGGAAGAACTTTAGTTGGAATAGAAAATGAAATATAAATAAATTTAATAAAAATTAAAAATAAAAGGTAGCTGAGAAAGATGATAAGCAAAATTCTTCCATGGCCTCTGCTTTACTTCCTACCTCCAATCCCTGCTTGAGCTCCTCCTGTTTTCCCTTGATGGTGAACTATTACCTGAAGCCCAGACATATCCTTTCCTCCCAAGCTGCTTTTGGTTATGGTGTTTATTACAGCAACATAGAACGAAGGTGGAAATTCTTCTCACCAACTTCATGCACCCCAGGATGGTCAGAGATCTCTACAGCATACAACTTCAGGCCCTGGTGGCTTTTGCCAATGTTGTAAATTCTGGTGATATTGGGGCACATTTCATTCACAACCTTCATCAACTGAAAGACAAGGTAAATGAAAGGTTTGGAATCGTGATAGCCGCATGCAAAAAAGAAAAAAAGACAGCTATTTCCACAGCCTCCCACCTTAGCACCCCTCTTCATCCCACAGCCCTGCTGCTGCTATACCTGTCTATAACACCCCCTCTGGTCCCCTGTTTCCCAGGATAATACCCACTTTCCCAACCAGAACCTATCCTTTGGCCATCTCTAAGGAGAAACTCCTGGTCATTGCCTGCCCTGACCCAGTACTCTCAGCAACCTGATTATATAGTTACAGCCTCTTGCTACAGACTGAATGTCTGTGTCCCTCAGCTGAAATGCAATCAATGCAACAATATTAAAGGGAGAAGCATAGAGTCCAGCAAGATGGCTCAGTGGGTAAAGTCCCTTGCTGCCAATCTGAGTTCCCTTTCTGGGACCAACATACAGGAAGGAGAAAACCAACTCCCACAAAGTGTCTTGATGGCACCAAGTACACAGATAAATGTGCCCATGCCCCAACATACCTAATAAATAAGTGTAATAAAGTACATTCTTTTTTAATAAAAAGAAGTGAAGCATTAGGTGGCACTTAAGTCATGAGGGTGAAGACTTTGTAAATAGGATCAGAACCCTTTTAAAGAGGCCAAGGACTAGTGTGTGAGCCCTCAGCAGACACATCTGCCAGCACCTTGAGCTTGGGCTTATAGCCTCTAGAACTGCAGAAAAAACCTTTCTATTGTCTGCTAGTCAGCTACTGGATGGCATTTCTGCTATGGCAGTGCCAACAGAGTAATGCACATTCCTGGGTTGGGATTTTCACTTCTCTCAATGTGATATGTGGCTCTCACCTCCCAACCCCCTTGGTTGTTGTGACTACCTTCCATCCTTTTGGTTGTTGTCTTCACCTTCATCCCCCTGGTTGCTATTACCACTCCTATGCCCCAGGTTGTTGTCACCACCAACACCTCCCCCCCCCCATTGTTGTCACCACCTCCTTGGCTACAGTCAACATCTTCCTGGTTGTGGTGATGACTTTCTCAAGGTGATTTTCATCTTTCTGAACCAGTCTCTTTGGAGATCAAATTGTACAAATATGACGTATTTGATATCAAGTTTCATAAGCACTGCACACCTGAAGGTGTCCCTGCCCATCTGGAGCTGGTAGTGCAACGGAAAGGATGCATGGGATGATCCAGTTCAGGAATGCTAAGTAAGGACTGCCCGTGGTAGCCATGGACACAAACTTCATGTAAGCAAAGCAGGTTGCAGTGGGGAAGGAATCCACATGCCATGGCCTAGACTTTAAGATCAGCTAGTCAACTGACAGCTTTGGCCTATGAGAATGATGTGAGCTATCAGGGAATGTAGTGAAGGCTCCATTTCTGGGGCATGGAGGACCAGAGATATCCTCTCCTCAGAGGTTGTCTTGCCTCGCATCCCCGACCAGAGCTGTGAGCATTGATTTGTTGGTGAAAGGTGTTTTGCAATCCTCAGGGCAGCAGAACCTAGTTTTAAAAACATTGTGTTCTCTTTATACTTACTAAGGACCCCGCTTTATGTTCACTGAGGGTCCCACTCTCTGTTTACAGAGGGTCCCATTCTCCACCAGGCACCATACAGTGAAGACTATAGACTTTAGAGAATCATTTCAAGGACATGTGTTAACAACAGAAGGGACACTCTGACACTGGCAGAGCAGAGGAAGAACACTCTGCCACAGGTGGTGGGCAGGAAGTATCCATTAGAGGGGCTCCTTGGAACAGCATGCACCCCTTTCTCCTGCTGCAGTGTGAAAGATGGCCCTAGCACACCTGTCTGGGAGGCTCTGTATGCTAGTCCCTCCTGGTGCAGTCACACTCAGACAAGGATCTTAGCAGGTCCTGACTGGGAAGTAAGCCACTGTCTCTAGTTCAGACCAAAGATGGTTTCTTCAGGAATAAGACCTAGGTAGTCCATTACGAACCTGGCAACAAATATAGGCTTCAAGCACAGGCCTGGCTATGCTTTTCTGTTACCCTCTATTTCTAGTGCAACAAGCACTAAAGATCACAGCCTTCATACTGGAGGAGGACTAATATCTTCCCCTGGATGCACACTTAGAAATAGATACAAGCCTCTTGGGCTGTAAAACCTCAGGATCTCCTTTCTTCTTTGCATCCTGTCCTCCACTGGAATGGTATTTCCCAACCCTGCTTTATCTGCCATGGTTGGTGTTAAATGAACTGTCACTAGATCATCATAACTAAAATCAACCTTCCCTCATAAGAACACGAGAATTTGAGGAATACTAACATAGATATAAACTAACATAATACTAACCTTAGGGAGGCCCTTTATAGTTTTCCCTCCAGAGTAGCACTCTGGAGTTCCCTGAAGCATATCTTGGGTGGCCACCATCCCCATGTAGGACATGGGAACTGATCCACCTGCTCTTCCCAACAAGGCTACCATGAGCATCACCTGGGAGGGTCCCTGCACTTAAACATAACTCCTTCTTTGAGAGGATGTAGCTACTTGGTCCTGAAAAAAATTAGACATTCTTTTTATGTTACCCAGGTCAGTGGTGGCTAATCTTCATTGTCAGCTTGCCACACCTGGGAAAGGGCACTACACCTGCAGAGCTGCCTTCATGAACTTGGTCTGAAGGTGTATCTATGGGACATTTTCTTGATTGCTAGTTTATGTAGGAGGACCCAGCTGTCCCTAGGCAGATGATCCTGGGCTGTGTAAAGTAGCTGAGAAGCCAGGAGAAACAAGCCAGTACGCAGCATTCCTCCTTAGCTTCTGCTACAGCTCCAGCCGCCAGATTTTTGCCCTGATTTCTCTGAACAATGAACTTTAGCCAAATAAACACTTTCCTCTGCAAGTTGTTTTTGGTCAGGGTGTTCACCACAACAACATAAATCAAGCTAGAATAAGGTCTTTGCGATAAATTTATGGGTCCTGATGACAATAGAGTAAGGAGTAGGATTTCCCAGGAGCCAGGGCACACATCCTCAAGTCTCAAGAAACTGACTCTGCAGGTCTGAAACATCTTGTATATCATGGTGCATTTGGCTCCTCACAGCCCAACCCCCACCCTTGGAAAAATGGTATTTGTTAAAATTTGATATGATGGAAGGGAAAGTAAGGAAAGGAGGTTGAGACAGCTCCTTGGAGGGGGAGGGAGGGGAAGCAACACAGTAGAGAACAGCAGGGTTGGCTGGACTCAGTCACCTCTAAAATGGAAAGCGCACCGCCATCCTAGTACCCATCAGAGTCTGGGCTCCTCTCTTTCCCTCCTTTGCTGCAGAAGATAGAATAATGAGATGATTTTCTAGTAATCCAATTTTCAGTAATATATCTGAAGGAAACTGTTCGTGAAGAAAGCTAAAATTATACACATGATGACACTGGTTGTAGCATGTTTCCTACTTTGGCATAGTCATTAAAAATTGGGAGATTTCCAAATGCTTCAGAGCAGGGGGAAAGCTGCTAAACCACAATGCCACCATCCACTCACCAGCACAGGTGGCAGCAGTGGAGAGAGTGGGGGTGGGGCAGGTGATGCTAGAAAACCAGCACTAACTGAGAGACTGGGGGGGGCAAGGACAGAGCCACTTTCTAATCACAGTGGTGCAGAACCTGTTAACACAAGTTCAAGCACGGGAAGAATAGAAGCATGTGGCTGTAGCTTGTGTGTATGTGTTCTCCAAGTTCACCAGGTGGAATCCAAGACTCAATTCCATAGTGTGTGTATGGGGCAGTTTTCTAGGAGGTGGCTAAGTCACAGAGGCTCTGCCCTTATCAGTGGAATGAGTATCCTTACAAAGGGATAGGAGGAAACCAAGTAGGCCTTTTTGCCTTTCCACCTCCCACTTGTAGACCCAGAAACAAGGCACCAGTAGAGAGCAGCCCTCACTAGACATAGAATCTGCTGGTGCCTTGATTCTAGGTCACCAATATCAAGGACTATGAAAACTCAACTTCTGTTGTTTAGAAATTACTCATTCTCTGGACTTTTGTTTATCTGTGAACAGACCAAGACAAGAAAGATGTAAAAATTGCTGATTCATCAGTACAGTGAGTCTATGGAGGATCCTTTAGACTTGGGGTTCTCTGTTGATATAAGAATGCTTATCCAGTGAATGGAAGTGTTTATTTAAAAAATGTTTAAAGTACTAGATAAAAGGTTTTCTTCAGTCATCTTCCTTCAGAAACCACCTCTAATCCAATGGAAAAGAGGAAGGAAACCACAGTGAAGAGCATCCATAGGTCCCGTGGTGGTTTGGAAGTGGCATTAATGGAGAGGTGTGGCCTTGTTGGAGGAAGTATGTCACTGTGGGGATGGGCTTTGAGGTCTCCTATGCTCAAGCTATACCAAGTGAGACAGACCACTTCCTGTTGCCTGCAAGTCAAGATTTAGGACACTGGGCTACTTCTCCAGAACCATGTCTGCCTACACTCCTCCATGTCCCACCATGATAATAATGGATTAAACCTCTGAAAATGTAAGCCATCCCAATCAAATGTTTTCCTTGATAAGAGTTGTCATCATCATGGTGTTTCATCACAACAATAGAAACCCTAACTCAGACAGAAGTTGGTACCAGGGACTGGAGTGTTGTTGTGATAGGCCCCATCATGTTTTTGTTTGGAGTAATATGGACTTTGGTACTTTGGGTTAGGAAGGCAGTAGGATGGTTTAAGTACTGCTTAATGAGCCATACTGGTAGGAGCATAGAAGACAATGGTGCTGATAATGATTTGAACTGTGGGGGGCTGGCTCAAAAGGTTTCAGAGGAGAATTTTAGTATATTGCCTAGAGATCATTCTCTAGGAATATTTTGGTGAAGAAAGTAGCTGCATTTTGCCCTAGTCTGAGGAGTCTGCTTGAGGCTAAAGTGAAGAGATTTGAATTAATTCTACTGGCAAAAGAAATCTCAAAACAGTCTAGTATAGACTCTGCCATGTGGTTACTAGTGTTCATGCTTATAAAGATTTATAATGAAAAGGAGCAAGCTGAGCAGGATAAG